CTATTATCATGTTCATTATTAATGTCTTTTTATTGTGATCTAATAATATCTAAATCTCTAAAACAACTGAAAAATGATTGTGGCATCTCTGTCTGAGGAACATGAACTATATCTTGGCTTTAATTCAGTTTCCATGGTGAAATGCATTATTATATGTTAACATGCTATTATCTTTAGTTGTATCAATAAATATTTCATGTTTAACTTATGTTGAATTTTATGAAAGAAGTATGAAGTAGAAGACTCAGCTTGATGATCAATTAAAAAATAATTCTACGTTTAAACTCAAATTATTCTCACGCACTACTTCTAAGGAAGTACATTAACAGGATGAAAGTGGAGGAAGTATTTCATCCCCACTTACTCATTCTTTATGTATTCAAGATGTGCATTAGCCTGCATAGCCTCTATGTAAGATGTAACGTGATTTTAAATAAAAGCATCAAATAAATCAAAATAATAAGGATTGATACAATAACAATGCAGATGCAATGCTTCAAATATTAGGTTTCATCTTCATCTGTAAGGATTAAGGCAAAATTAAAATATGCTTTACATGATTTTATGTAAAATTATGTATTCAAATTTGTGAATACATCTCCTCTATCAAAGATGTATTCAAGGATGAATTAATCTTTACAATCAGGCAATATCATAAAGATTTTATCTTGTATATATATACTATATATTATATAGTATATATAACTGTACATTCTATTATCTAGTATGATAGATATGAACTCGTCAAAAGTCTCTTGATAATACGTTATTCTCTATAATATCATCCTCAATGAGATATCGTTTAGAAGAAAAATATTCTTTCCATCTATACACATAGATCAACTATCTAGAATAAAATAATAATTATTAATAGACAACGCGACTTTCAAGTTCCTTATAGATATAAAACAGATATTAAATGACTTTCCTCTCGTTTGTTATATATTGCAGAACCAGTTTATATTTTACTTTTCTCAGTTTCTTTTCTTTTTGAAACATATTAAAATAAAACTGAATAGTATCTTTTATAGCATAAGGAAGAATATCATGTCTTTTTTTTTTTTTAGAATGCACAGAATCTCATTTATATTACATCTACATAGCATCTTGTTTTCGCATAATAAATATGATATATTGTTGTTCTTATTATTATTACTATTGTTTTCTATTGTTATTATAACTGTCATTACCATTATCATTACTATCATTAATATTATTAGCATACTTTGAAGAACAATTTTTTTAGTGAAAGTGTGAGTAAAAATATATTACTTATAATCACCTTATTATTATATATGAAAAAAATTTTAAACAACCTCCTTAACATATAAAGTTAGATATTTAAGTTCCATAATATTATGCAGAATATTAACAAATTGTTTTTTATTTTTATTATACATTTACATCTTATTAAACATTCTTTATTTTATTATTATCTTTTTTCTTATATATATATTTTTTTTTATTATAAAATTTATTTCTTTATAGAATAAACAAAAGAAGTTCGAAGAAATTTTTGTGTCACCCTGTGTATATCATTGTGTAGCATTCACACGAAATAACGCGTGCGCGGAAACGTGCGTGGCGGATAGAAAACGAAGAAAAAGCGGAAGGGTGGTGGAAAACTCACTTTCCACCACGGTCCGTCCAACCCTTCGGCCACGCGTGTCTCTGCCCCCCCTTCTTCCTCTCCCCTTTCGGTTTATAAGCAGCCGAAACACGGAGAGCTGAACAAAAACCAGGTCCCAAGAGTGAGAATATAGGAAACAAGGTGAATTTCTGAAAATCGATATCGGCTACGAATCGTCAATTCGATTTACTTTCATCGAAAAATATTTGTCAAAACCTTCGAATCTTTTTACTTCTCTTTTTTCTTTTTAATTTTTGCTCAATAACACATTATATACGAAATTTTAAAAATAGGAAAAATAATTAAATTTTCTAGTTATTGCTATTATTGAATAATTTTTCAAGTACTCATCAATGAATCGTAATAGAATTACGAAAAAGAAACGGATGTCACGTTTGATTTGAAATTATGAAGAAGGAAGGGGTGGAAAAATGATTTTTCCTTCATAAAAGAAAAATGAATCGATTGGAGAGAATATGGGAGGCGAAGAAATGATAACAACCTTTCAAGACGTATTAAGGTATTTTGCGGTTATGAATCGTTTTCTGACCACAAGAAACGTCGTATCCATCACGCAACTAGGATTAATACAGTAAGTTGCATATGTCGACAAGGGGATAATTGTGGTCGACATATTTTTTTTATAGGCAAACGACTTTCCGTTTCAGCGCTTTTAATCTATTACTTACCACAGTTATGTAACACGCATATCATTTGCATATATTTATTATTAATGTTTATATCTTAATATATTGTTTGTAATTAATACCAATATATAACATTAGCTTTGTAATATAATAATAAGTTTTTTATAAGAGTAAATTATTAATTTCATATAAAATTTATATAGATTATTCGAATGAAGTTGATAGAAAATTTAAAGAATAATTGTAAAGATTAAAATACAAATGTTATAAATAATTTAATTTGCAGATTAAATAAAAATGAGGTAGAAGAAGAGTTCTAGTTTCATCTATTGTAAAATTGAATTAAAATTTGATAAATAACCTTTTTAGATATATTGAATTAATAATATAAATATTTTTGCATATTAATTTTTGTTTTTAAGAATCAAAACGTTTTCAAAGAAACTTTAAAAATTTTTTTCCACGCTGTATATTATATTAATCTATTCTGTCATTTCTTGAATAATTTAAATATTTCTTTAATTTAACAATAATTATAAAATTTATCTTAAAGACATACAAAGGTTTCTAAAAAAAAAAAATAATTATCAAAAAATTCCAAAGAATAAAATTTATTCCATACTATCCTAAAAAACTAAAATAACTAAAATAATAATCGCATAATTATTCTTCAACTGTCTCCAATTATTCGCACATTTAAATAAAAATGATCAATAATTCTTCCAATCAATGCTTCGAATCAGCTTCACAACTCACCCATTAACCAAATACCCGGTAATCAAATCCAACCCCGCTTATTAACGCGGTACACCTCCCTCCTGATTCAAATATTTGACGAAGAAAAGTTCCCCGTAATCCGCGGCAAGTTAAAAGGCTATACGTCGGGTAGAGAGGCCATTGGAAAAGTTCGAGGATCATTATCTCCAAAAATCGTGCACCGTTTCCTAATAGGGTATTCCGTTCGAGTTTCACATCTCGAGGGGTTGGAAAAGAAGAGAAAGGTGTATAGCCGCGGGGGAAGAGATGGGGGCGCGAAAGTGGCACGACACTCGAATCGGTACCCCGATCTTTCTTCGAGAAAACTTCTTACCACCCCTCCCCAACTCGAGTTTTGCCCGTCCTCCCGATGGTCACAGTTCGCTCGCCACCCTAAAAATTACTTCGAGTAAAAAACGAGCTTCGAACGGGTGAGGGGCAGCTACGAGGGTTCTTCTATCGAAACGCGTTCGAGGACCTCGTGACGATTGGAGGGCACGACCTGCTTCTGGAGGGACTTCAAACCGGACCGAGCGATCGTAAAATCGCTGTGCAACAGACGTCCATTGCGTGATAACGTTATTTTATATTATTGAAGAAATTCTTTTATTTTCAATCTCAATCTTTCAATTTAGAATATTTGGACATTTTTTTTTTATTATTGTATTGTGTCTATTGTATTTATTGAAATTGAAAAATAATTGTGATTTCTTATTGTATAAATAAAATTTATCTGTCGAGAATGGGTGAGTCAAAAGATAGATATTTTATCAGATATTCATTTGAATTTGAGATTGGAAATTTTTCTCTTCAAAGCATTCTTTTAATTAAAGAAAAATCATCAATTATAATGTAATTCAATATATTTTATAAATATAATAAAAGTCATTTGTTAAAAAATTATCTATTATTACAGAACAGAGCTTTCATAAAAATATATATATATATATATATATCTAAGAAACGAATGATTCGTCGAGCATATGTATTGCAATACTTTCCTCATTTCTGAGATGTTGAATAGGCTGTATATAAGTTTCGTGACATCCATTCGGATCCACCCTGCAATATAATGCTACGAGTTTTTCGAGGGCGAAATGTGACCATGTGTTTAGAAATAAGAATCGTAGGAATGCGTTTGTGCGCCAGTGTGACTAAATAGCAATTGTGTGCACGAATATATACGTTTTGTGATAAGAAGGGAGAACGGTGAATGATGAGAGGGTAAACTTTCAATTAGCAAGAAAGAGAAGAATTGTATCAAGAAAAAGAAACATTAGATTCTAAAATTTTTGATTCAGATTAATTTTAATAGCCAATTTTTCAAAATTATTTTAAAAATTGCGTTCTAAATGCAATTGTTTAAATAGAATTAAAGAAAAAAGAACAAAAATATTAGATTAAAACAAATCTTTAATATATTATTCATTAATTTTATATATATTTATATTATTTATTTTATAAAGAATAAATATTATATAGACATATATATGTTCAACAATCATTGGAATCATTAAAATTCTCCTTTGAACTGAATCTCGAATAGGATACATAAAGCGACTAGTACGTATAAGGTATGTCACGGATTCCTGTGTTACATTATGTGTACTCA